CAAAGATGGGGAAAAAATGGTTATAGGGAAATGTTGTGATATTTTACAATAGCTTCATACAAATATAAGTGAGGTGTCTCAGTATGGGAGCAAAACAGAAGGTCAAAAGTAGCATATCACAGCTGGAGCAGTCACAGTGATTTCAGTGGGACAATGAAAACCCAGACTTGATTTGAGTCAGAGTATGAAACACATGCACATAGCAGGGCTAAGGACAAGTGCCTGTAACAATAACCACTGACCTCAATTTGAATTCACAACTTCAGATGTTGCTCAACATGAATGGCAGAAAAGAAGCCAAAGGGAGAATGTATGAGCACTCTTTTTTTTGATGGACAACACTCTAACTATATGAAAAGCTTGACTAGAAATTAGAAGTTTGAGGATTTCCCTAATTGTAGCCAAAACTGCAAATAATCTGCCCAGCTGTCAAGGTGCTCCTCCCCTCTATGTGTCTTAGCAGATCTATCTTAAGTGCTTATTTTGGCTGCTTTCATGTCATCTGCATATGATATCAAGTAACCACTCTAAAAAAAATGAAATGTCACTTGCCTTGGATTCGTATGTCTCATACAGCTGCTGCAGTGTTTGTCCCAGAGCACTCTGGGTCATGTTGATGAGGTATTTACCAAGCTGCCACTGCGGAGCCAGGGCATCCATGTACAGGTATTCCAGTCCCAGCATGGGAATCTGTCCTTTGGCATGCTTTGGCAGCTTGTAAAGAGCAAACCTGCAACAGTGAAGAACAACTGGTTTTTACCACCACCCTGTATGAATGTGTAAATGAGTATCTCCTTCCCTGAGAAAAAAAGGAGGGTGAATCCAGGGATGCCTGGGCTGGAGGGGGAGCAGTGTGGCCATCTCAGCCCCAAGGCAATGACCCAGCCTGGAACCAGCTGCAGTTTGGCAGCACAGTCCCTGCTGCAGACAAATGTGTGCTGCTTCTTAGCAAGCAAGGGAGGCTGATTCAGCACCAAACTCCTGTTGCTGTGCCCAGATTGCTCTTGGTACCCCTGAAGAATTTGAGGTAGCCTCGGCTGAGTCGATGAAATCCCTATCGCTCCTGGTTCTGGTAAAGAACCTCAGGTCCCAAACCCAGTGTAACATTCCCCCAGGTTAAACAATTTCTATATTTTATAAATATGGCTTTATATGAAATAGATAAAATTAGGTATTGAAATTTTAAAAATGCATTATATTATGCTTATATGTATAAAAATAAATATAAAGCAAAGTGATAAAATAGCTCCAATCCTACTTTCTATAACAGACTTGCACTCTGATGTTGCAGACTGGAAATTTCCAAACCATTAGCCAGGAATACAAATCTCTTCAAAACTGTAAAGTACTCAATATTGTCAGTAAATGGCTCAGTTAATACTAAAGTTCCTGACAAAGTAAACAAGTTTTCCCAGTGTGCAAGTCCATGGGATTAATCACAATGTAATTAACTCAGCTACTTTCTCTGAGAGCTGTAATTGAGTAACTTGCTATTAATGTCAACACTAAGGACTGAGTGGCATTATTTTCAATCTATACTATTTAACAAAATGCAGCCTATGCTTAACCCCTCAAGTATATCAGGAGGAGTAAACCTTGCCCAGCTGACTTAGAGGCTCAAGTTGCTCACAAAAGACATCTCCAAACACAGGTAAAAAGTGGCAGGAAAACATTTTACTAGAGAAGAACATTTAATCCATGGGAAATGTGCACGTACAGGCACAAGAAAAACACACCAGTGGCGGTCCTGCTAATCCACCTACATTGCCACTGACTGAATGATCTCCTCAAAGTATCTCAGGAGAAATAATTTCTGATGACAGATCACAGAGAAGAAAATGATTTATATAACTAGGCTGGGGAGAGTGGTCTGTGCCTATACATGAACAAGGAGTCAAAACAATCCCTTTATCTGAAATAAAGATTTGAAATGAAGACTTGGAAAGGAGAGGAATAGCAGTGGTTACAGTAGTAAGAGCTGAGCCAGGAATTAGTAGATGAAGCCTTTCCACACGACTTTGTACTGAAAGGTTTATGCTCTGGAAGTGTTTACAGCCTTACATCTGACAAATCCACCTAGGCAGATATGCTTATGAAATGCTAGTCATTGAGCTATCAGGAAATTGCCTGCCAATTCCCAGTAGATACATGTTTTGGGTCTTTCCAGAAAGCCAGCTGAGTGTATTACCAATTAAAGTTGTATAAAATCTTTAGTGCTATTTGTGCACAGGAAATTTCCCAAGAACTTAGGCATTTGTGAGAGCAGAGTAAAAGCTATTTTCCTGAGAACCAAGAGCAAATCCGCTTAGACCGGATTAGCATTGTCACATTGTTTTCTCGTGACTGAACACAGTTTACAAGCAAGAATCACATCTTTGCTTCTTCCCTTCCTCGCTGCCCCCTTAAAGAAAGCCCAAACAAACAATGTGCATGGTGGCTTCAGTCCTTGACTCAGCATTTCTCAGGAAGCATAGTGCTGGCTTCTCTTTACAGGGAAGGCTTCCCACAGCAAACAGTGAGTTTAGATGAATAAAAGAAAGGCTCTGCCCTCCTCAGGGAGCCGCTCCTACGGCCATGTGCTCTGGCGGCCCTGTGGGAGCTGCAGCGAGGATTGCGGGACGAGACCCCGAGAGAAATGAGAACACAGGAGAGATTCTGCCCGCGCAGGTCCTGCGTGCGGGGAGGAGCTGCCAGCCCAGCTGGGGAGCACAGATGGGATCAGGGCAGATAAAGCAACTGATCCCTCTGGTTCAGCGGCAAATGAAAGGTGTGTGAATAATGAGCAGTTATGGAATACTGCAGGATGAAACCACCTCATAGCAGGAACTCACACAAACCTGCTGCTAGCTGAAAATAACACAGTGTTGTTTGTTTAAAAGGACATTGACATCTTTTGTTTAAGAGACGGCTCCTCTCAGCAGTTTCAGTTCTGCTTCTCCTGTCAGTTTCATAGCAACCAAATCCAGAATCCAAAGGCTGACTCTTTTTAGTAAACCAGAATGACTCCAGCAGACAGACAAGTTTCTCTTCTTTTGATCAGGGCATATTGAAAAGGTAATCCCCCTGTCCTACCTGCTAAATTTGTGAAAGGAAACATGGATTTGCCTGTGCAGAACCCCAAGTTCCCTCCTGGAACAGGCCCCACATCACTGGCATTGGCATTGAAGCACAGGTGAATTACTTCTAGCCCCAGCCTTCAAAGAGTTTCTCAGAAAATTTTAATGCAAAAATTGTCTTCATCTAAGAAATTGATAGTTTGTATATATATTGGTCTGTGGGTTTTGTTTGTTTGGGTTTTTGTGTTCATTTGTTTTTCACGAAAAACTTCATTCTGCAAGGAATAAATCCAGTTTAGAGAGAAATAAAATATCTCATACCTTTAAGTTCCTGGGTAGCCGCACCAACTAAGAGTATGATTCCTGAAAAAATTACATTATCCAGAAGGGCCTTGACAAAGGTGACAAGTCATAGGGATGGATTAGACCCTCATACATTTGATGCTGTGTCTGCAGAGAGCAAAGCCAGCTTTGTGCTCCTGCCTGTGGCACGAGGAGCACCTGCCTTCCCTGCAGTCAGCTCTGTGTACAAGGAAAGGGATGGGCCTACTTCTTTAGCACTTGTATCCAAACTAATCATTGTTCACAAGAAAGACATTTTTCTTTTAAAATTGGTTGATATTTATCTTCAGGAAGCTCTTTTTAAAAAGCCCTCATTTCACTTTTAAAATCTGGGCTGGATATTGTGTAATTGTACATCTTTTCATCTTGAAAGCTCATTAATCCAATTAATCATTTAACACCCGAAGTTGGGCTCGCAGCTGGCAGTGGGATGGCACCGGCAGCTCCGGGCACGGAGCGACTTCTGCTCCAGTGGCAGGGCACAGGCGCTCGGCCACGCCGCTGCCGCCGGCGCTCAGTGCCCCGCAGTGTTCCCCAGCAAGAGCCAGCCGAAGGGACACGCGTGTCCCTTCCCCGCCCGGTGGCTCCCGGGCCAGCCGAGCCGAGCCGGGCCGGGCCGTGCCCCCGGGGCTGCCGCTGGCGAGCGCAGCCTTGGCTCCGCAACACAGGTTATGTTCCCTTTGATCATGAGACATGAACGCTGTGTAAAACCGTGATTATTTGATTGTTCTGCAGTTAGTCATGATGCTGCACGGTGGTTGGTCGAGGGAAATGAAATCAGATTTCAGTGACTTATCCTAGGTTTTTCAAACGCAGCATTCCGCCACCACTCTCATGCCAACAGCAGTGAGCCCGCGATTGCCTTCGCATAGCTCCTCGGTGACCCACCCCCTTCCCGCGGTTTAATCTCAATGTATTTATTTACTTTCCCAGCCTTTCTCGAACGGTATTTACTCACCAATCCACCGTCTCCCCGTCTTCGTTCCTGCAGGAAATCTCAGCGGCCCACAGGGGCACGCAGGAGAGAGCTAAGAGCAGAGCCGGGTGCCACCAAGCAGATCCCGCCGGCATTTTGGTTTCCCGGCTGCGCAGGGCGAGCCCCGAGTGGCTCCGAAAGGAGAAGCTGTGCCGCGAGAGCTGTCAGCTCCTGCCCACGGAGCAGGGAGCGCGCCCGGCACGGCGCAGCCGGCCCGGGAAACCGGGCGGCACAGCAGGCACGGCCACGGACTGCGGGGCAAGGCTCCTGGGAGCCGCCGGAAACTGCTCACCATTTCTTTGGGCAACAAAATGACAGCTGACAAGCTATGCTTTTGACAAAAAACAGAAAAAAAATATTTTGACTATTTACAATGTTCACGGTATTCTGCTTTAAAAAAAAGCTCCAACCTGCAGATACCGAAACCCTTTTTGTTTTCTTTTCAGTTCTCCATGACTGACGTACAAATTTTTCACAACTATCTGAAAAAAACCCCTGGTGTTCAGACAAGCAAAACAACATCGTCCCCAGCTCACTACTCCTCCGCCCAGCCCTCGCCCCGCGCCCGCAGAGGGGTCCGGGCAGAGCCCCGCGCCCGCAGAGGTGTCCCGGCAGAGCCCCGCCCGATGCCGGCCCCGGCGCTGGGCACCTCCAGCCACCCCCGGGAACGGAGCCCGTACGGACTGAGCCGGAGAAACGCTCTGATCTCTGAACCAAATGAATTTACTTACAATTAGCTAATGCTTTTTTCAACTATTTTTAAAGTGCATTAACATTTGTCTTAGGAACAAACATGTCTGAATGGAGCGATTTCACATCTGATAATCTTTTAGCAACTCACACGTAAAAAGCTTCAATTTATACTTTGGTGTGGAAAATGCTCTTTCTCCATCCTCATTATGCCTACATGAAAAGGGGCTGATTTACATCAAAAGTTGTTGATACGGAGTATGGGCTATTTCAGCCTCATGGAAAGTCTAGTACAATGAGCTGTGGATATTTCAGCACATCAGAAATCCTCACAACCTTTGCAGAATGTTGTCACCTTGCTAGTACAGCCTCTCCAACACTGTAAGAGATGTGTAAATGGGGTGTGTTTCACAGAAGCAGGGTAAAACTTAATAATAGGGCTTAATGCAAAGAAAACCAATGATCCCAGAGAAGAGACTCAGTGAAGGTCTATACAGTCAGGACTAATTCACAGATGACAAATGGGAGATTAGTTCACTGTGACTCCTGTTCTATAACCTCTCCCCCAGAAAATTTTAAAATTTTATCACAGCTTCTACTAATACAATAATAGTCTTCTAAAGCATTTTTTCTTCCTGTCAGGACTCTGGAATTTATAATGAAAATATTCTCATTATCATAGGTAACTACAAAAATAAAGGCCATAAGCACTGTTTATGTTTCACTGACATTGTTTCATGACAGCATAACTCAGGCTTCCACTGCATTTCTTTACTACTGCCATGTGTTTTCTTTGCAGATCAACGACCTTGAAGTCCTCAACTGTGAATATGGCAAGAATACAATTAAGTTCCTTCGCCTTCATAAAGAGGGAAAGAAGGAGTTTGTTAAAGAAGTGGAAGTGTGTGTGCATCTCCGGCTGACTTCTCCTCAGGAGTACCTGGAAGGAAACAATTCTCTTGTGATACCTACAGACACCATAAAGAATATTGTCCTTGTGTTGGGCAAAAAAAAAGGGGTATTTTTAAATTTTTTTAACTAGCCTTGCTGTTTCTTACAACTTCATTTGGAAGTATTTGTTATACTAACTTTTTATTTTCAATTTGCATATCAGATCAGTACCAAAGTAATTTTCAGTGATTTTAATTTTCCTCCTCCACTGCTTGTCCTGTGGACTCTGTTTTGCAAAGCTTTTTTTCTCAAGGGCTACCACTGTTTTTGTGGATTTGTCATATAAAGCCATATTTAAAAAAAAAATTAATAGCCCATAATCCCGCATTATTCCTATACAGTATTTTTAAACAGAAGGTCTCAAAATATGAGACGCCTTTTAATTCTTCTGTGCTCTTACTGCCATCAATTGCATGTATCATAATGACAATCTGTAGCACTAAATTTCTCCATAATGAAATCCCTTCTTTACCCTGCAAAACTTAATTAGAATATCACCATATCAATCAGAATAATAGTGATAAATTATTATTTCAGGATTATATCCTCAAAGCATAAGACTCCTGCAGTAGTTTCTGTCAGTCCAAGAACTGCAGCTCACTGTACCACAGAATGGAAGATTTTTGAAACAACTACAGCTGCTATTTGCAGCATATACTGCAAGCTGGTCAAATGACTGGGCACAGTGAGCCAAGCTAGAAATAAGAGAAATGTGTTTTTAACCACACTGATTCTTCCCAAATACTTACAACAACCAGAAAAATCTACTTTTGTACATGAGGTAATTGCTTCTTTCTAACAATACTGTTTGCTGCCTTAGATCCCAAGTTTAGAACAATTTGCTATAGATATCTGCAATCACTTCATGACAACATTTTGCCAAGTGGTGTACGTCAAAACCTACATTCAAGAAGTACCATGGCAACGTCTGCATGAGGTATCTAAAATACTAATACATTCCATTTGTTTATGCTGTAGTCATTCCTCATTCTCTTAGCTCCTGTTTTCAAATTAACATAATAATATTTATGGCACTTTTACTTACATGTCTACTCTAAATTGCAGGATGGCGTTCCCCACATCCACTCATTCATATGTGTTCCTGATGGGATCCGCTTTTGTGAAGCTGAGCAGTGCCGGAATGGTGAGAAAAGAATTGGCAGCATCCCCTACTTCTCTGTAAATATTTCTGCCAATGAGAGATGAAGAAGGCTTTAGAGATAGCTATGGCTGTTACAGGGCTTAGGGCACAGCCAAACTGCTCCAGAGGTCTAAACCAAAGGAGATTTTTATAGTGTAATTTTGACATTCTTGATCTCTGAGACATGGCTGAAGAACTAACGTAGCTCACATTTGTATGAATATCCCAAACATGGAATGGTTACAACAGCACATCCAGCAGAACTGTTACATCTTGCCACAGGATTTAACAGCCTTCTGAGAACAGGCTGCTTACTTTTCTACCTTATACTACAACCTGTGGTCTCCTATGATCCTTACCTGATACCACACTGCTGCAGGCCAATTGCCTGGTTTGCAGTAATTTTCAAACTCCTGTCAACATGCCCTGATTTTCTTTCTAAGAAAACAGTTTCATTGCTGCAAGCCAGACTAGCTTAACATGGTGAGCAGTCTGGTCTATATGTGAACCATCTTTCACATGAAAATACTTCAGTGTGCTTACCATTTTTGCACACCACACATAAACAAAGCAGTATTTGGCTTGACCAAGAGTTTTGTGATACTTAAAAAACAGGCTTTCAAGCTCAGCTGTCTGTCCATGAATTGGCATTCCAAAGGGAGTGTAAAAATTATCTCTGCTTGCTATAGCTTGCAACAAAAGCCCAAGTTAAGTCTCACTGTGATGTTTTGTTTAACTCATCTCCTGGATTACTGGGAGCCGAGCTGAGACCACTGTATCATTTCACAGAATGGATTTAGAGGGCTTGGGCATTAGTTCAGTACCTGTCTATACTACATTAATGTAACTTAGAACTATTCCCCATCCTATCCAGAACCAGTGACAAGACCAGTTTCACTTGCAGACAGGACACAAGTTTTGAAAGGTCCTTCTGAGCACTGTTCCTGTGTTCCTACTGAAAGAACACAGAAAGCCTGTACAAGTCTCCAGTGCCTCTTGGCCCCATCTTTTTTAATGTTTCTAGTATTGTTAACTACGGCTGTGCTTTTGGCAGCCTCAATAGTATTGACTCTATTTTCTGGAAAATGTTAAAAAAGACACCTGGATTTAAAAAAAATAAACAAACAAAAAGAGTCCATACATTTTTGAAAAGCTGCTGCTCTTAATGTAGATTGTATTACATTTTTCATCATCATGAAAATTTAACAAGCAATTCTGCAACTTCAGATTCTACATAAACAGAAAGCTTTTATGGCTTACTGAAGAAACCACCTTTCCTTCTTAAGACTTCCCTTCATGTAGCCCTTTAGTTGTTTCTTTAGAATTCCCTGCCTAGGTGAACAATAACCAAAGTGATGATTTTCAAATCACTTTTATTTTTCTTCTAAGAGAATGTTCTCTATATTTAGCATCCTCCTATGCACCTATCAGCCATGGGATAGAGTTCATTTCTCAGTTAATCCTATTGTTTAATAATTTTCTTATAATAAAAAAAACCTAATGAGGTTTAATAGAATTATGTTTTGCCACTGTATCAGCTGATAAAAGGCTCAGAGTTTTTTGGAAACTCAAAACATTGTAAGTAACTTAACAGAATCAAAATTTGTCAACTGAAGACAGCAGGAGCACAAAGCCTCCTGAAAGCACAGCATGAGCTGTTCACCTTGGAAACTCTCCCTGGGTGCTGTCTCCTTTGGAGCAAGTTTCAGGCTGATTGCTGCAGAATCAGCCAGCCTTTCAGTCAATCTTTTGTTGCAAGGAGCTCTTTCAAATAAGGCTAAGTATTTCAATATAGGCTAAATATCTCTCCAGGTTCACTGATAGTACCTGCACTACATTATTACCTGTGTGTCACAGTCTTATACCCAAGTGATGAATTATTCAAGATCTGTACAAACTCTAAAATATCCTGTCCAAGGTCAGTCCCTTTTTTAGATATTTTTACAGCTTTAGTAAATAATGGGGGACATAGGCAAAATGATAGATACACCTCCTTAGACTGATTCAAAACCAATAATGAATGTAAGTAAGGAAAGAAATAGATAAGATACAGTGTCAGTAATATCCACTCACAGAGCAGTTTAAAAACACCCAAACCTCTAAACAACTATGCAATATAGAAAATGCCTACCATGGTGGAATTATTTCCAGTATAAATTAATTCAAAGACATCATTTAAAGACAAAATTTGTGAGTCCTCCAAGTCCAAGGCAGGATTACTATGCACTTGACATATTCAAGGATGAATTTTGAACTAGCTAGTGTGAGCACCAAGAGCAGCACAAAACCAGCAGCTTGGACTTCAGCCCCTGACTATCTGTACAGGCCCTGAATGAGCCTGCATGCCATGCAGTTTCTCTTATCTGAATAAGTTTTTTGGTAGGTCTGGTCAGTGAAATTTTCAGTTACCATCTTGGTGTGCTCTAAATGACTGACTGCTTGAAACTGAAATAGCTGCCATTCAAAAGGTGTCAGCAGAAAAAGTTCAGGTCACAACTGCTTGGTGTTTAGAAGACAATGATCCACCCATGCAGCAGCGATCCTCGACAGCTCATTTTATAAATAGTGGCTAAGAGCAAAGCCACTGTCAGTTTGAACCTGTGGGTGGCATCTGTATCAGTGCCAGTTCCTGCTCATTAGCTGAACTGCAGGGATTTGCACTGGCTCCTGGCTCTCATTCTCATAGATGCAAAACTCCCAACAGGATAGGTATCTAAAGCAAATTACTGACTGAGGCTCTGTCTTTATACAGAGAATTTTTACATTTGTCTGTGTTCTTGGAAAAGGCACCATCACAGCACAGGTAGCCTATTTCATTTCCCTTTAGAGCCATTCCTAAATTGACATCAGCACAAGCCAACCCAACACGTCCCAATTCCAAGCGAGACAAAAAAGTCTATCCTCAGTTCTCCTTAACTGCAGTTCACTTGATGGGATTCTCCATTTTCTAGACTGAGCCTGACTTCAGTAGTTTCCATCTTGTTTCTTACCTTTCTGTCAATATCAGTTTGCAGAAAGTTATTGTCTGCTTTCTGGCACTGGAGCTGTTAATGCAAGTATGCACCCAAAGGCTTATTTCTTTGTGTGAAACGAAGCTCATATTTTCTTGTAATTTTCAATCACAGGTCCTCTGGTTGTCTTTGCTGGAATTAAGGACCTGAAACTTATGAAGACAACACAGTCTGGATTTGAAGGCTTCTATAAGAATGAACACACCACACTTCCTGAAAGACATGACAGGATTCTGTGTGGAGAGTTCTTCTGCAAATGGTCATATGGCGAATGCAAGGATTTTGACTTTAACTGCATATGGTATATATGTTATATCAAGTAGTATTAATTTCCCAATCTATACTCACAAAGTCCCTCTATACCATACAGAAGGTCTAAGGGATCCACAGCTGCTGTGCACCAGCCACTCACAGGTCTCAGCGACAGCAATAAGCTCTTGTTACGAGGGTTGAGAGGCATGTCTTAGGGGTACTTCTCTCTCTAAGGGTACATCATTGGACAGGATTCAAATGAACAGTTCAGTGTTCAGTACAGAACACTTTATGAGACTAAAATAACTATTTTGTTAAATAGTTTTAACAAAACCTTTTTGTGAATTATATATCTGGCAGGGGTGGGGAGAGGAAACAGAATTTGGGTGAAAGGACAACTTGTTCTTCCATAAAATCCCATGGGCTATATATTTGTCAGAAAATCATGCAAAATATAAAGAAAAACCACCCCACAACAGAGCATTACAGATCTAAGCAGAGACAGCCGATACAATGTTTTGTAAGAACCTGTGTTACCTCTAGGAAGAAAATCCGTGAATGTATCCTTGAAGCCTTTGCTGGACCACCTGACTGTGGGGAATATTCACCCTCTTACCAGAAAACTGTCAACTCTATCCAGATGCATGTCCTTTCCAGAGTGCCACAGGTATCTTCTTTCCTCCTAATGATGTTTTACTTCAACAATAGTGAATGTTAATTGCACCACTGGAATTAATCGGTTCTAAGAATGGAAACTCCCCAGCCTGGGAACACAGTGGGGGGGAACATCACTCAGCTCTTGGCAGCACTTGAATAAAAGTGAAAGGTGTGCCACACATGTTCACTAGATTGCATTTGATCAACTGTATTCGGGGCGTGGCATTGTTCTTTTTTACACAGAGTGAAAAGCCTGCCAGGCTGTTGACTGAAAAGGTGCCCTAATTCATTGTCTCATCCATTCTCATGGTTTCAGGTACAGGTCATAGAAGTCGTCTTGAACAACACTTTTTATAACATTGTAGACATGAAGAATCTAGGCTTGACCAATGACAAAGAAGTAAGTAAATGCTTCAAATACAACTTGACTGCCCTCTTTAGAAATACTCAGCCTCTAAGCATAGCAGCAGTTCTACATAAAAAACAGTTAAAGTGAGCAAACTTTCTCCCAGTCCCAGTAAAAGCTCCACATTACCTCTAAAAAAGATTTAAACTGATTACAAAAGGAGCATAAATAATTGTCTTTTTATGTTATTGATAAAAGCTAAAGGTCAAGTGGAATACTCTGGACATCAAAAGGATCTGTAACAGAGACTGTCTCTGACAAATTATTCCTATTTTCTCCACTGAATTTCACTCTCAATTATAATGTCAACCTATGCATTTTATCCAAGCAGAATGCACTGTGGCATCCCTAATTGGTCCAACAGTGGATGAGATACAAGTCTGGGATCAGGCAGGGGGCAAGAGGAAGGGGGTGAGGTGTATTTGCTCCTCCCTCCACAGCTGCTCTAGCTGCCAGCTAGGTCCAGCTGAAAGTCTGTTATGTTACCCTCACATGAAAGAGGATTATTCCATTGACATCAATGGTCTATAGTCTTTTTATGCTCTAGTCTTCCTCCAAAGTCTTGGGATTCTGCTACTGTGCTCTCCTATCTTTCCCCTCCTTCAGGTGGACATTATAGATCCACTTTTACTTGTGATAATGTCAGCATCTACCACTGATGTTCCTAAGAGGGAGAAAAGGTCTGGGCATGATTTTAATAAGGAGATGAATAGCCGGATTTTCTGCTGGCATATCTCTGTCTCAAACATAACCTTTGTGTTTGTGCTCATCCCCCTCAGGTTTTGGTTCCAGTGGAAACTCCTTATGGCTCCTGTACTTGCACACTTGGTCGGAAGAAGTTTTTTGAAGCACAAGGCCACATGCTGAGAGATGAGAGGAAATGTCAGTTTGGACTGGCAGCTGCCCAGGGAAACTAAACCTCTTGGCTCTACTCAACCTTCCTGATAAACTTAATAGCATGGCTTTCCTATCAGTGTTTACTCCTTATTGGCCTCTTCCATTGCTGACTGCTTTTCCCTCTATGAACTCCTGAGCATGGGATTTATGAAGGACCCTCAGGAAATCGGAAATCAAAGTCTGTTCCTGACTTCCAGTGCGACTTGCAGACTGAAGTGCCCTAAGCTCTTTTGAAAACCCCAGCTGGAAACATTAAGCAAATTAATTTTTAAACTAGCTATTCCTAAACCCTTTAATGAAACAATTAGATGTCTGTAACAAGTTTTTGACATGTAAAATCAGGAACTCTCTATATTACCTTTATCAATATTTCTTCAGTAAAATGAATATACAGGCATAAGACCTGCTGTTTCATTGACATAACCTGTCATGACCCCCTGATGCCACACTGATCTACAAAGCTGAGGTTCTGACCCAGTGACTGAACAGGGAATCAGTCAGAATCAGGATTTCTTTATGCAGGAAATGAGAAACAGAAAGAAAAAAAAAAAGCATCTCTCGTATCTCCTTTGTGGTGTAATAGTTCCAGCTGTTGACTACTTTCTCTGCATGTAATCTGACTGCATGACTGCTGCTGCTACTCATCAGACTGTAGTTACTATAGTACTTTTACATTAATCACTGAGGTGATTTGAGGGTTTGGGCTATCTCTGTAGGTTTAATTAAATAGTTTTCTTTAGTCTAATAACCTATCATGACTTCTGAGCAGGCAGGAGTCAACCTACATAGCCCTATTACATTTGGGAGGAGTAGGGAGAAAACCAGACAGACAGATAATGCATATTTTACTTTAGTTACCCCAGGTGATAGCTTTGAACATTTAGATAAAACAATACAGTCAATAATTCTCATCTCACTAACTGTGGCTACCACATTTGCAACAGAAATCATCCTGAGCTTCCAACAGCTTCTAACCCTTTCCCTCGTTTTCTTCGAGTGTCATTTTCACAGACTCCATGTGACAGAGTACAAATTGAGTGGGAAGTGTCCAAAGTAAAAACTGCAGTTAAGCTGCCTTTGTGCCTCCTTGTGTTTGGCAGAGATGCAGCACTGCTCTGGGTACAGTCATTATATTCACAGGCACCAAAAATTGGGGAGATGTCCTGCTCTGTGTGACATTTTGAGGTGCTTTGCAAGACAGAAACTTGCCTTGATGAGCAGGGCATAACAGATGCAAGAGGAGAACACTCCACCAGCCTGAGCTATCCCTTGAGCAGCAGGAAAAATGACACCACAGAGTGAGGCTGTCCCAGCTGTGATGTTCTCTGGTCACCAGCCAATTCTGAAAGCTTTATTTACAACACTTTTAGCTTTTCCTGGGGACATTCTTGCTTACCTTCTTAGATTGTGTTGTATTGTACTTGTGGGCTTATGTCTTGCTACTTCTGTCACTTCTAGGTGCTTTTAATTTATTAATGTATCTTTTAAAGGCAAATAAAGAGCAACATCAAAAAACAAACTAGCTTTTGACGATTTACTACTTATATATAAATGTAAACATTTTAAGTAAAAGAACTATTTTAATTCATCCAATTTCACCTCAAAAAGTGATCAATCTTCTTCCAAATGACACTTCACTACCAACAGATGAAAAAGAATCTTATTGAACATTTCAGCATTTGCCTCTTTCTAAAACAAAGCAGATCTGCATGACCAACTTCCTTTCTACCTTATAAGAAATGTATTGCATTAGGCACAAAGTTTCTTTCATCACTTTTTGTGTTTCATTTGTGGCCCTGCAAGGTAGTGGTGGACTAACCTCCATGACAGAATGAGGACACAAAGCAGTGAGCAGTTGTTTACTGAGCCTTTCCTGTGGCAACAAGCACACACATACACTCATTCAGCGTGGTTTGTATAAATCTCCACAGACAGGCAGACATTCATGTCTTTGGAGCATCTCAGTGCAGCTCCATCCAGCACTGCAAACCTGAGTCACTTACGTGGGCAGATTGCTTCTAAAGAAAGTACTTAGGCAATCGGAAGCAGCCCCAACTTCCCATATGGCAAAAAGATTAAGGTAACAGTGGCATAAATCATTCTTGAAAATGTGAGTTAGCCATACTCACTTGGGCCTGAAATCTGACCAAATTCCCATTGGTTTCATTAGATTCAGTCTCCATGATGGACTTGCATTAATTTCATTCAGACAGATGTTTTTTTCAGTTCCTGTCCTAAGGAGCTATTCAAGTTGCTTACTGTGTTTTACTCAGAAGCAGCTGTGATGCTTTGCTGATGCCACCACACTTGATGAAAATGAGCAGCAGCTAGCAGGTTGTGAAATTGCTGTTTAAAATACAACTTCTTGCTGATAACATGAACCTTGCTGGTCCTGGGCTACATCCCAGTAGTTCATAGGGGATGAAGTCTCGTACCAAGAAACAGGGTATTTCAAGTGCACAAACATATTATCTTTTTAGTCTCTTATTCTTTCCTATCCTGTTTCTGTTCAATTCTGATAACTGCCCAGGACAGTCCAACACAGCCTGCCTCAGCTGCTCATCATGCTCCACGCACAACCAATGTCATACAGACAAAATGTACCGGCTAAACTCATCAGCCAGTACCTAAAACAGAGAGCAGATGTCACTGTCAGGGTCAGAACAAGTCATCTGTCTTCCCTGACTATATTATTCTACATATATTGTCATCTGCTTTCCAATATAATTTAAACCTGCCAGTTTTTATTAACTACAATAGCTACTTTTTTTCCCCCCTCCTTAAACTTGTATTTTTCCCTTCTTAATTTAACCTTGCTTTTATCAAGAGTTCATAATCCTGACTCTAAGTTAAGCTGAGCTACTTAAAGTGACCACAAAACTGTTTCTGGCTAAAAATCTCAAAATAAATACTTCTGAATTTAGAATTCTGCTATTTCTATATATATACAGCAGCCGACCATATCCCCCCTGGAAAGTGCACAGCTTTATCTAGAAAGGAAACATATTAAATGTTTCCAGTTACTGGATCAAAAATGTCAACTCACATGTCAGCTGCAATATAAAATGTTTTCTGAGAGCTTCACCGTTCATAGCAGCCTGAGACAGACACACACAAGTACTTGAGTGCATGCATGCACACACGTATGTGTATAAAACACATGTATAAATGACACTTACTAGATCAGCTGATGTATGACTAATCCATGGCAACCACATCAGAAAAAGCATTATCTGGGGTTAGTTGTTGTTAAAGACAAAAAAACAACCCAAACATTACTGGAGGGACTCAAAATTAGAAAGACAAGGGGGTAGAGAAACCTTTGATTCAGAGGGAAATACAACAGAAACCAGAGTGCCCGAGAACTGTGGAGGGCTTCTGCCACTTCTCAAGCAGGGCATTAGGAATGAATTTCTACATTACACCTGACTGAAAAAGACAAGAGTTCAAGTTTTAATGACCTCATACTCCTGCAGTGTTTTCAAATCCTCTAGACACACATATTTCCAGGTAGGAAAGCTGAGGCAAACTGGCGTGTGGTGTTTATGCAGAAGGGAGGAGGGAATTTCAAGTGTCCTTGTGAAACAGGGTTGCTACACCCAGGCACACACCCATTTCCACATTTCTCTCCCCACAGTTTGGCCACCAGCTTGTGAACAAACTCAGCCACAAGTTCCTTACTTTGACTTCCTTCCTCCTTCCACCATCCACTAAGACAAGACAAAACAATGTTACTCTTGAATCCAAAAGATCAGTGCAAATGATGAGCTTTCCCTCCCTTTTCTGATAAAATTTATCTGCTAAAATCAGAGGCATCCTCAATATAGTAAGTACCAAAGAACGGACTCTACAGAGGGGCAGCTAGATTATAGCAATCATCCAAAAAAGGAAGAGAACATCCTGAGATGAAAGCAAGTCTGCCAATGCCAAGACATGTGCTGCTGCCTTATCAGCAGATCAGCTGATAATAGGGCAGTTGTAACTGCTGACTGCTCCTTCAGCAAGGATGCTCACGAGTGCAGCATACAAATCCAACAGTGGTCTCCAGTACTCATCAGCAATGAAACTCTCACACAGAGACCAAGAACCACTTACAATCTTCAAGGTGCTCCCCTTGGGCTCTCCAGGTGCCTGAGGTTGCATTTCCCACATTTATAGCAACTACCAACCAGTGTTATTCTGGGAATTGAACATACATCGAAGATCCAAGTGAACATCACTTAATCAACTCCCTAATTATAGGGGCTAAGCAAAAAGTAATTTAATGACCTTGTTACATTATTAAAAAGAAGACAGACTCTCCCAATAGGAATGAAAGTTACTTATTAAATCAGTCTGCCCATTCTGCCAACAGAGACTGCCCCTGCCAGTGGGCTAATGACAGCCACTTCTCCTGGGGAAACTGCTGTCCAAACTGAGCAGCACAGAGGTGATGGAATGGGACATGGGTGAGATCTCTTGGATCACATCTCCAAGCACCAAGTCCTCTCATTTGATGAAGAAGCCAATGCATTGCCTGTGTAAATTGCTCAAGGTGAAGGAGAGAGTAAAGCAGATCCTCTTCTGCAGTGCTCCACTCACCCTGCTGCTTATGAGCCAATGATTGTTACACCCTCCAACATGCATATTTACAGTAATTTCATTTCCCACATGACTTTTGGGCCAAAAGCCATTCCTAGAAGAGAAGGAACTGCTGTTCTGACTTAGAAGTAAAAAAACAGAATGAAGACAAAGTAAGGTAATATTTTTCTGATCTTCCTCAGACTCAGCCTTTAAATGTTGTACAATATTGCCATTAAAAAAATGAGAAATAAATTTGCAGCTTCTGTCAGACTCATAGAAAATAAGACCCTCTGATTTTAAAACAACTGTCACTGTAACTTAAGTGTGATGGTGGAAAGAGGATTGTTGAAGACAAAAGATCAATTAAATGCTGATTTTTAAAAAGAGGAATAGTGAAAGGATTTGGCAGAATTTGAACATGCTGGAAAAAGCAGGGAAAAGAAGGAAGAGTTCATTTAGCAATTAATTCCTGGCACTTACAGCCTAATGAGACATTTTGCCAGGGTCATTTCCAACCAGGAGTGATGCATGGGGGGTTACTCCCTTTGTTACAGCTGTTGAATCTTGTCTTGTAATTATATGGGCAAAGAATCTTCTACAACCTGATCAAGTGCAGCACAATTAGAACAAACTGGGACCAATAACATGTAGGGATGGGAGACAGCAGCAAGCAGTCAGAACAACTTTTTCTGGGTTGAGAAAGTGATCCTGATGGACAGGTACCACCACAGATCCCATACTTTGCTGACAGGTGCCTTACACGTGCTTTATATGTGGTACTTGGCTCTGTCTGGATGCAAAGAGAACATGCCATGTCGTGTATGTACAGCTTGAGAGGAGAGTGACTAGAGCTGATGAACAATTCCTATATATTTCACACCCATCATGCCAAACAGACGCATTGTAATGCTTTGAAATAATTTTAAAAGCATATGAAAGATTCTGATAGATATGCATGTCTGATATTAGGAGAGAGGAAGGACAGGGAAGACCCTGGCCGCAGCACGACTGTTCTTGTGCTGACCAACAGGGCAGGGGAGCTCAGTGCTGCTTTATTCCTTAAAGCTGCCTCCAGGAGAGGGACACTCTCTAAATTGTGATTCAGTGTGAAAGCCAAGACCTTTATCACACTCACCCTCTGGATCAGCTGAGCAGTCAGATGCTGGCAGCTTAACCATCACCCAGGGCACAGGCAGGGCTTTTAAGGAAGAGGGACTCTCCCAGCTGCAGGCACATATAAGGGCATGATTTAAATTGGATTCCTGCATAGCTCTGCAACTCAGAGCTGCAGTACTGACATGGTATCCAGTAATGCCTATCAATTGCTTCCTCATCTCAACAGCAGCTGTGTTTTCTGCAAGAGGAATGGTAGCTAAAAATAATCTGGCTTTGACTTCCTCTTTTAAACCCTTCAATCTCTTAGAAAGATTTTTTTGTTCTCCCAGAAACAGCAAAGAGAATGTAAGAGACAAAACCAGAACAGTCAAGTGCATAAAGAGAAGAGCAGGATTAGAAAGCTCAGAGAACAGTAGGAAATGACAATAAAAATCAGAGACAGTAAAAAATTGTCAGTTTTGACCAATATTTTCCAAATTCTTTTTTGCACTTGCAACGAGATTTCTGTTATGCCTTTACTTGTATGACTCAGTGGTGCTGAGCAAAGGGGAAATAAAATCTGGATGTTTCTGAATGCAATTCATTTGCTCCTTAAACATATTAAAAGAAAGAACTTTGTTCAGTAGTCATCAAATATATTCTCATTCTGCACAGTGGAGATTTTTACTCCCTCTTGGTATAAGTATGTTTTACTTCCAATTCTGTCTTCCTAGGACCACAAAATGTAAATCCCATACCAAACATGCAAATGGAGAAAAAAAGAATATTCAATTAATCCTTCAGTAACACAGCACTATGTATTCTCATCCAAAATAATTCTACACATACAGTGCTGGTTAGCATGTCCAGACTGCTTTCATGATCTTTTTCAAAAACATACCTAAATCTATATTAAAATATTTAGGAGTTGCATATATAATTTTTAAATTGCAGTCCAAAATTAGCCAGATACAGACTATAGCTCAAAATTCCCCAAGGCAGGGTTGATGATGTCTATTTGAATCTAGTCTTCCAGCAAAGCCCTACTCCCAGCAGGTATCTCAGGACATGACCAAACTATAAATAAAATCATAAACAGAATTCAAACCATAACCTACAAACCTGCTACTAATAGACCAATACCTGAAGTAAGCTCAGTACAAGGGACAGACAAAGAAATGATTAATACATCTCTGTCCTACTGTCTCAAATTCCAAATAAATACATTGTACCATGTAAAGGTTAGGAAGAATCCAAGAAAGCATGCTGCTGTATATATTTATGTAATAGAGCTTCACCTATGGCATAGCTATTAGCATGGCTTTGTCTCTTCTCTCCCCTTTCTCCCTTTAACACCAGTAACCACAAGCATGAACAGCCACCTCACACCCGGCCAAGTCAAAGTGAAGACAGGGCCACTACCCAGGCAGGAGATGGCAGGAGTTTCTCCTTCCTCTCCCTGAATGCTATCCCTACTTGCCAGAAGGCAGCACCCTTCTCCTTTCCCAGCTGCATCCCCTCACCATTTCCTCCCACACCATTTCCACTTTCACCACACTCTCATGCTTATTTCCTCCTTCCTTGTTCCTCAGCTCAGCATCACTGATGCAACCCCACATTCCCCATTTCAGGGGTCATGGCAAAGCTCTCTGGGCCAGAGATGATGGTGAGCCCAGACAGGGTTTAGCACCATCCTTGGGCTGTCTCTCAGACATTCTGGGGTAAATGGACCCACCCTGTGCACCAGGGCCAGCACAGCAGCTCCGCACCACTGACAGCTCCAGACACGGGTAAGGGAAACACAGATGTTACTGGTGAACTGTGGCCAGGGCTTCTTCTTCAGCAGTATGTAACACCAGAGAAAAAAGAACAAAAATAATTAAATCTTTAAATATTATGGTAGGTCATGTTAAAAGTAATCACAAGGACATAGAATCTTAAGTATATTTTGGTACCTTTTTAATAGGAAAATGGAGAAAAGGAGTTCCAGTATACCACAACAGAGAAAGTAAAAGATCCGTAAACTGAATCCAAACATAAGCAATGTTTTATTGGGATATAGCAAGCAACCTATCAAATAGGGAACCAGTACAAACAGATTGAACATGACTCTCTTTTAACAGAGATGTATGATGACAAGACAGCTTCTTTCAGTTCTTAAAACAAGTATTCAAAGTGTTAAGTAAAGCATTAAAAAAAAATCAATCATTACAACACCAAAGACAGACAATATTAAAAATGTGCAGAATTTTACTTTTTACAAATTTCTGCATAATGTTAGAAAACAATCATAAATTAAAAAAGGAATAAAGTGAAGCTTTTTTGTTTGCAAAGCAAAATAAACTCTTAAAAAACAACTATATTTTACATAGGACTACTATTAAAAACAGGTGAAAAGCTGAAAATTTAAAGGACAGCAAAAAATACACAACTCAGTTTCACCTGTCAGCAACACCTTCTGCTATTGAAGGAGTTATGTTAGTTCTATGTACAGCTTTAAACATTGCAGCATACCACAAGTAAACCTTAATAAGGTCAAAATAGGACCCTCTGCAAAAAAGGGTGACTTGGCAAGTGTCAGTCCCATCCTGAAATTATAAGTAGTAATAATTTTAGTAGGTCTTTAGCGCAAACCAAAACCTACTTTAATTGGTTCCTCTCTCTAAAGATGCATGTAAACTTTGGGGTTGTTTTTGTTTAACTTTTTGGTATCTTAATTAATGAAATCAAGAACATGTCTGGCTCAAAAATGAGAATGACATACCTCCCTTTTGTTCTGGATACAGTGATGTAGCTATCTCAACATGCTCATTGACACTTCCTAAAAGAGAAAATCATTATGTACTATGTAAAAAATACACACCACCTCTCTCAGTTCAGACTCAGCATATAGTATATTGCCAGCTCTATCCAATAGGATATATATTCTAATTTGGTTTAAACTCTTAATAGATATATTCTCTCTTTACAAAGTTCCATCACATGAAACCAAATTGCTTATTTTTCCTTTGAGGCACAGCATGACCCCAATTAGACAATTAGCTATAAAGAGTTGTTCTTTAGATGTTGTGTCTGTAGAGGTTTTACGTGATATTCATAGATTTTCAGCGCAGGCCCCAGTTTTAATGAAAGTCCAGTCAGTACATCATTTCTTGTCATCAACAGTAATGATTTGCCATCAATTTCCTATAAGAAGAATTAAAGAGTTGATAAAGACAAATATACAAATCTAACAGAGGAGAATAGTCATGCAACAAATGGAATACTACTATAGAGGATCAGTGAGGAAAACAATAGCCTTGATTTTCCTGAAACCGTGTTCACAGCTGCTAGATTCTGCTTGCTGTCTACTTTTCAAGTGCTCACCTGTGCTGACTAAGGCACAAATACTATTTAGTCAAGCACAAAATCCAAATGAGCCTAATTTCAAAATTCCCTCCTTGTAAACCTTTTTCTAATTAATAGGTACAAGTGAAGAATGCCTAATTATCAGCCATTTAGGGAAGGATACTCCTAAGAATGCAGCTTATGAAGTGCATTTCAGAAGAATTACTATTGACAGCAATATGCAAGTTTAAACTAGTGAATATCTGCTAATAACTTCAGGTGCCGTCTTTAAAAGGCCAACCTTCCCATGCATCCTGTGGGGGGAAAAAAAGGAAAAGATTCCTGCAATCAGAAATTTTGGAAGGGCCTAACTGGAGCTTGACACACTGAGAGAACTTCTCTTCCTCTACTTTCAAGGGAAGACGAGAAAAGCAGCAACTTGCCAGCTTAGGTCTTAACAACCCCTACACTTTCCTGCTTAAAATACCTCTTGTAAATCACAGATATGGTGGGATTTTTTTTTTCTCTCAGACCTTGACCTTCTGATTTGTCTAGGTTAGAAATCCTGTAGGCTTTGGGATTTTTTTTCCATCTCAAAACCTTGACATATGCTTGAAAACTACCTCTAAATAATTTTCAAAGTCAAAATGGAAGAGAAAGAATCCACATCTCTCCACTATCTACCATTATCTTGGAAATATCAGAGATCCCATCCTTGATTACAATACAACATGAAAAGAAGACTTCTATTAGAGCTCAGCAGGAATTTTTCAAGACTGATCTCTCTTAAAATTTCATAAAGTTTATAAATACAAAATACATGGACAAACCACAACATAGTCAAAGATCAGCAGAAAGTGGTATTTTTAAAAATATCCCCAAGATGTACACAACTACTAATCCCTCAGGGGAGCACAAAGTAACAGTAATTCTAAAAGAAAAAAAAAGTTTCCAATAACTTTTTACCCAATTATAGCAGGTGCCTCTTTCCAATTACTGTTGAGAATGTTAATGGTTAAAACCAGTTTCTATCCTCTCTTTTCCATTCGTCACAATTCTTTCTGTGGGAATTTTGACACCAGTGAGTGTTTTGCTCATTGCTATGACCGATCTGAAGTTGCCTTTTCTGTTGCTGTTCAACGATGCTATGGAGGAAGAACAGCCTCCAGCTTGGTAGGATCCAAATGGAGTAAATCCAGTACCTGGAATAGGAGAAACTCCAAGAATAGGAAAAAAGCATCTATTCCTTTCCCTTCTTCCACAGGGTTCCCTGTGTTTTCTATAAATGCTGGTAACTACTAAGACTTCCACTGAACAGAAAACTGATTCTTCAAACACATCTGTGTAGGAATGAGTGATTACATATTCAGAGTTCAAGTGTTTTCTATCTTTGTGTGAATTGTAAGCTTTACCTCTTTCACTTCCTTTAAGTTTTCCACATTTACCTGCTTCTGCAGAACTGTCACACCCTTTTTTTTGCACCAGGTAAGATTTTGTATGGTCTGGTGACTTCTCTAGTCTTTTTTTCAGGGTGTAATTTCAATGCTAGCTCTCAGTATGTCTTTTTAATGTTAACTGCAGAGAGACTTCTCTGCAAAACTCAAGCAAATTAATTCCCCAGTGTGCCAGGATGACCTCAACACCAATATCACGCTGTCTTCAGCAAACAACCAGGAGACTGGTTAAGCTTCAAGTCCTCCTACCACCCCTTCTGCTCTAAGTGACTGAGAAGTTTTACAGTAAGCCAATATGAGAGCACACTCATGGGCTCCTCCCTACTGTGGCTCTGCCAGAGAGCAGCAGTGGATACCAGCTGATGTCAAACTTCAGTTTCCCTTCTGGTAAGGCATTGCAGTGAGGCCAGCAAAGCAGCACTGGGTGACACGGGCATACTGGCTATCACAACAAAATGGTCAAGAAGCCACATGGGCCATAACAAAGGTCAGAGCACAAGCACATCTTGAGACCTTGTAAACAGCTTCAATCTTAGAGTGAGCCACAGTCCTCTGTGCTTCCAGGGCTCCTACAGAAAGCTCAGCCACAAATTGGCAGGCTGTATTTCTCTGGAAGTGTCCACACCCTCATCCTGCAACTGTTACTCCTCCCTCTTCAGGTATCCTGTGTCCCCAACTTCTTGGCTTGTCTGATTTGCTTGCTGATGTTATGGGTTTTTGTTATTGGGCAACATCCTTCAGTTGAATCTGTTTTCATCAGTGAGCTTTTTTGATTTGCTGACATCAGTGGAACTCCAAGAAGGAATAACAGATAATCATCATACAAGCATCACTTCTTACCAGCACTTACAATAGAGTTTTAATAAAACATTCTGCAGCCCTTAAAATGCCTTCTAATTATCCTTAAAGTATTGTACGAAAATTTCAGGTCTTAAAGATCTTTTGAGCCACTTGTTTTAGGTGAGTCCAGATGTATTCAGATTCATCAAAAGAAAGTGTGGACCCAGTTCTTGCTGTGTAAAAGCTCAGTGTAACAATAGATGTCATGATTACATTCTGGGCTAAGGATATTTTGTAAGGAAACCATTGTGCTACCCCTGTTGAAGCAGTTCAGTGAAAAACAACTTTCCAGTGTTGTAGGTGAAACTGAATACTTTCCTTTACTGCTTACAAACTCATTCTCCTTCCAGTACATATTCAGGGCAGTAGATCAAATGAAACTAGGTTTCTGGGGCCCAGGCAACTGCAAATGACAGAGGAAAATAGAGAATGGCCAGAACTGCAGCTGCATGCCTGGTGCTCTACAGACAGAGGATGGCTAAGGGTTCAAACTGAACCTGTCTGCACTGCCATACCTGGAACATCCTGACAAAAAATACTGTAAGAACACAGTTAGAGTTAGTGGTAGCAAATAGTGCAGAAGAAACTGAACAGCACCATTGATAAGAAGTTAGGGACAGGATTTTTTATGGGGCTGTTCTTGGTGCAGACAGGGAATAGGCTGGCAAACCTGGCACGTAGAGCCAGGCACTTGGTGCTCCTCATGCTGCTAATGGGAAGGAGGAGGAAGGAAGTGGCAATGACTTCTGCTGCAATTATCCATCCCCCAGCTCCTGGCCACATCCTGGTGGCAGCTGCAGCCTCTCTCTCCAAGGTTTTAGCATAAGGTGAAGTTGCCAGTGGAATCACAGCCACATTTCTGCACACGGCTGTCCCAGCAGAGTCCTCAGTTATCCTACTTAAACCACTTATCCTCATTGCAAAATACTAATAAAGCCTATAAGGCTGCTGTTGCAAACTGATTTGCCCAAACTCAGAAATTAGCCTCACCTTTCTGCTGCAAAATCAGTAGTAATTACTTCAATATTATTGTCAAGCCAGCTGTGAGGCAAAGAGGTCAAGGTATTTGATGGAAGTCAGAGGTATCTGTCAGTATAAGGAAAAGACTCACAGAGACCGCAATTACTTTGTCTACGTAGTTTTTTTAAACCACATTTCCAGGGCTTTTGTGACATGGATGATGGTATTAAGGAATGGACACACACAAACATTTTCCTTTTTAGCCTGTTCACTCATCTTCAAATTCTGAAAAATTAGCAGCAGCTGCAGAAAGAACCTTCTCTGCAACCTGCCAGAGAATCACCCAACGCCAGGCTTTTCACCCTCAAGAACAAAGAACTAAATTTAGATACTTTGTTATATGCATGAGTTACAATCAGATCGGATTTCACAGCCGTGGTGCTGAAGGTCAGCAACATTAACCTGACCAACCATGATGTTATTTCACCTGCAAGGTACAGTCTCCCTGCAAAGCTGCCAATAACTTGCACCAGCTCAGTACCTTGGAAGGTCGAGCCATCTATTTTGATAACTAATTACAAGTGTGGGTGACTAATTTCCTGGTAGTCACACACAAGCCTACAGACTTATCTGGGGAGCTGCTGAACTGCCAATGTGATGTGAGCTACTTCTCTATGGAACAGGTGGGCTGTAGGCCAAGTAAGCTGACTTTCCAATTCTGCCCCACTAACGCACAGCCCCAGCTGCTGGCAGGTGAGTTACAATGGGCCACTGACTGTTAAGCTCTTTGCTGATCTAATCTACCAAAAGAAGCCTTCCATTAGTATCAGCAGCTACAAGGCCTAGAAACAAAGACCCAACCTGTTTCTCAGACTGAGTCCTACAAAGCAGTTGGCTGCTCCTCTGCCAGCTTAGTGCCAACTTGTCCTTTTCATATTCACTTGTACTGCCAAGTTCAATGCAACACAGCAGCCCCTTTTTCACCCTATGCCTTCACACTCGTCGCTGCCTAGAAGCCCCAGGTTTTATAAGTACTCATGAGTGTAATTACACAATACACTAAGAAAGATGGGAATTCACATTTTAAACACCATTCACATTTTAAATAACAAGACAGTGAAACTGAGTGGGTTGTATAGGGAGACTGAGCTCAAGCCAGAAAATTTATTAAGATTTCTCACCTTTCTGAATTCTATTTTAAACAAACTCCAACTAATTACCCACAGCTTGCAGAACAATATTATTACTCAGAGATCACAGAACCATGCATTGTCACCCAATAGCAGACTCAAATCCCACCATTAATGTGGGATTTTCTCTCCCATTTTACAGTATATAACCAGGCCCACAGTAAAAATTTGCAGTGTGAGAAACTGGTGGCAGTCAAAAGGTGTTTGCTAACAGATTTACCTGTTCCTGAAAAGCATTGGCTTGTTCTTCAAATCCAGCTGTTCTGAAATAATTCACAACATCAGTAACAGCCCAGTCAGCAGGATCCAGAGGTCTCCCATTCTCTAGTGAACTGCAAAGTGCAAACGCAGACAAGTAATCACTAAAGGTGTGCAGAACATCTGCTGCTGCTTTGTGCACGTAGGTCCCCCTCCTTTGTGCACGTAGGTCCCCCTCCTTTGTGCACGTAGGTCCCCCTCCTTCCTTGTTTGTGCAGGAAAAGTGTTCTTTGATACATCTCCCCCACTCCAATACAGAACAGTGTCTGCTGTTCTTTTACATTCCAAAGACCTGATGCTGGGGAAAATTGAGACCCCTCTTCTTTCAGAAAAGAAGAAAGTATATGAATCTTCACATCAACCAGAGGTAATCAGTTAGGATCTTCCTACAAGTGTGCTGTCTTTGCTGCTGGAGAATGAGATCTGCCATAACTGGGCTCCTGCCTTTCAAGCCTGCAGCTTGCTTTCAGCTACCAAGTACTTAAAGAATTTTATGTGGATTATTCTTTACACAGATGAGACTGTTCTTGTAACATGGGTAGAAATTACTGGTAGGCATCTTTACCTTGCAAAACAACAACAAATCAATTACAAACAAACAGAACACCCCAACCAAAACAAAAAAGAGGCACCAAATGATTGCACTAATTCTCAATATAGAAAATTTCCCAAAACTGTTGTCAGACTCATGTTTGGACAATCTATGGACTTTTTAAATAGCTGTGCATCTGAGAAAACATCTGTTAAACACAATCAGAATTAACTCCTTCTGTGATTAACCTCGGGCAATTGTTTTCCACAGTAGCAAAACCAACAAAACATTCATATTATTATCCTTATCCTGCATTTCTTTTCCTCAAACTGTTATCACCCTATCACAAGGAAAACCTTGGTGTGTCTGAAAATTTTTGGTAAAAAAAAGACACAGTGAGCTTGACTGCCTCTTCTACTGAAATTTATGAGGATGAACAGCAAGGTATCAAAGAGACAGCTGCTTTAACGTGTTTCCCCGACCAGAAGTTCTGAAGTTCATGCCAAAAATTTTCCATCGTTATACTTGCTTAACCATAATGCTAATAAAGCAATATTGAAAATGTACAGATTAGGGCAGTTGTCAGAATCCTGTCCATTTTCTGGTCTGAAGCTTAGAGGCAGGACTTTGATTTCAACAGCACCAGCTGGAAAAGAAACAGATTATACTCCAATGCAATATTTTTGTTCTGTCCTTCAATTTTTTTATTTTTTTTTCCAACTGTCAGCATCTCTGCCTTGCCTGGACTTGTATGTTTTTCAGCAAAGTAACTGGGCAAATCAAGGGTAGACCATCTTTCCCATTGCTGTTTCTACAACATTCTTGTTTCTACAACTATCTGAGTCCTGGGAAGGAAGGCTTATGGAAACAATGGTTTTTGCATGTCCCCCCAGACTCTTGAAATGTGTCTGTTGATAAGGCAACAAAATCTGGCCACAGAGATCATCCACAGCCTGTGCTACACTGGGCCTTCTAAAAGCAGTTTCTTTCATTTATCACAGATCTCTGAGTGATGAGAAAGTTTCTTACTTTTGCTCAGCACATGATGACTTACTTTATGAATTGCTTCACTGATTGTGATTACACAGAAAGCAACACTCAGCAAAATTGAAAATGAGACTATCTGGCCTTATCAGAACAGCACTTGCTTTAATGTCTGGTTGAGAGGAAAAGAAAAAACATACCTCTAACTTAAGTTACTAGCTTCTACATCTCTTCATTGCTATACAGTCCTACCACATATCACTTTTAATCAGCTCAGTGCCCTGGACTCTTCTATTTCAAAGCTGAAACACAACAGAAGTCATTAAGAACAGGGAGGATTTGAAATGCGCAAAGATGGAGGTGGCCACTATTGCCAACTACATTAGCTCAAAGGAAATCTACATTCAAAATCCATGTGCTGTTTATGTAAAAGGAACACTTACTTTTTGACATCCAGAGAGCCATTTTCCTTGTTTTCCATGTCAACAGTTAGCATGGGGAGGACAGAAGTTTTACTTCAGCAACTGATCAATAGGGAGGAAAAAGAAAAAACTGTGTTTAATAACTGATAGTATGACTAGTGCGGGGTAATGTGACAGAATCAAGCATTCTACAGGGACACATGCATGTTTCCACTTGAGAGCAACAGTGCTGTCAAAGACTGATTTCCTTGGAAGCCTGGCAAAGCTGATAGTAGCTAAAGAACTAGAAAAGAAAGTTGATCTGTGCTTCAAATACAAGAAACAATTCTTGCCTGAAAATCAAGGAAAGTAATACTACATTTAATCCTTTTCACAAGTGTTAAAATTTTGATCAAACTATGTATTTATATACACAGAGATTGATGTGCAATATATAGCTGTGTATCAAGAGAGCTTGATAGGTTTTCAGTTATCCTGTGATACAGAGGATCCAAACAGATGGAAGATCTGATCTTTAGAAAGGTCATAGCCTTGTTTTACAAATGTGGACTTGAATACAGATGAGCACGTCACTTATGCCCATTGTGCAAATAATTGAGCCCCAAACTCCTGAGGCCTAAATCAGTATGTCATCCATAAGACCTCCCTTCCTGCACTAGAGCAGCTTTTTCTATAGGTATGTTACACTGAACTCCAAAACGGAAAGGAGCATGTGAAGGACGCAGGAGAAAATCCAGTTTGCTTCCTTCCTTGCAGCACGCTGGAGTACTTGCACCAATAGCTTTTTCCATCACTCCACGGAACATGCAGAAATAACCCAAGCCTTTCCTTTCTGTTCTCAAGTAAGCCATTTCTATTTCAGAGAGCATCAGAGAACGGACCAAGGACTCAGGATGTTCTCGTCGTAGCATTAATGGACGCCAGTGAAATGTCTCACAGCTCTGGGATACAGAATAGGGAAATCATGCTCTTCAGCTAAAACTTTGCAAAAATAGAGAATAGCAATTAATATTGCTGTGGGGGAAAAAAAGAAAAAAAAAAGGAAGAATAAAAAGAAGACCCTTTATTATACACGTAGAAGCGTGTAAAGCACCAAGAACACAGTTACGAACTAATCGAAAAGATGCTTCTTTCTGCACCACTGGCCAAACAACTCCACGAATTCCCTGAAATCACTTCTCGGTTCACCTGAGGTGACTGCAGACGACACCCGCACCAGCCTACCTGAGGAACGCCCCGCGCCGCGGCCGCGCACGGCCCGGAGCCGCCGGGCTCGGGGCGGGCACCTCCCGCGGAGCCCACGGGCCCGGGCGGCGGGGGCTCCCGGGGCTCCGCTCCGGCGGCTGCGCCGGGCTGTGACACGCGTTCAGCATCTCACAGGCACCGGCGAGCCCGCTCGCACTGCACCTCATTGTCAGTTCTGGCTGGGGGCGAGGGAAGCAAGGCAGAAAAACCTACCTAGGAGCAACTAAACCAGCGCATGGCTACCGGCTGCTGCGGAGCGGCGGAGCCCGCGGCTGCGGGCCCCCCCCCGCCCCCGGCCCCGCCCGGCGCGGGAGGGCACCCGGGAGCCCTCGGGCTGGGGCCGGCAGCGGGGCGGGGCACGGAGCGGCGCCTCCGCCGAGCGCCTTACCCAGGCGGCGCTTACCTGCTGGGGAGCCGCGGACAGCGCCGGGGCCGGGGGGGCCGGTATGGGCGGGCGCGGACCTGCCGGCGGCACACGGCCGGAGAGCAGCGCTCCGAGCTCGGTTCGTGACTTGAGGTTCTTGGGGCCTCCTTGTGGACATTTCTGCTCCTCCTAACAAGCGGGGTGTTACAGGTAACGGAAAGGAAACAGATCCCTAGTTGTTGAAGGATGCAGTATCAAGGCGAGGAAATTTTATACAAGGTAGGAAGTAGGAGTCGCCAGATGTTGGCAAATTGATAAAGTTAGAAAAATTAATTCCTAGAATGAGTTCGTCAACACGGATGTGAGTAGCAGACATTAGGCTTTCTGTGGAACTCCTGCAACTGCAGGCTCGGGGTGATGGGAAAGAGGAGTGACCCAGGACAGCACACCCGAGTCACCCCCACCGTGCCACCGGCGGCCCTGGGGAAAGAGAGGAGATGGAGGCACTGAGTCTGCAGATCTTACTCGTCTAAGCTCCAGACTTTATTTCACAAGGAGACCATACCCACGGGATTTACTGTACGGAAAGAATCAACTCAAAGAGCTTACAAATTACTGAGTGTCCACTGGCAATAAAATCTCACCCACAGAGTTTAATACAAAACTTGTCAAGTTTTTCTGGCAACAACACTTTTTTTTCCCCTTTTTACACTATTTTTTGTCTCTTCAGTATTTCCTTGATTGCTGACGTTTTTTAATGGCTTGTAGGCATTACCTGTATGCACTGTCAGTGCAAGGGAGATCAAGCAAGGACTATCAACACACCCTGTTTCCCCACACACGGGCTTTGTAGCCAGGGCTGCATCCCAGACACTAATCAGGTGCTGTGACCTTTTGATTATCCGTAACAGGCTGGGTTACTTCAAATTTGTGGGATGTTTTACTTTAAAAAATTCCTTCTGAGTCAAGCTACTCAAATTACCCACCTGCTCTTTGCTGCAAGGCAAGGGGGGACATTACAAATTACCTGGGGATTTGCACAGAATCTACTGGTGACTCTGGCCTGATTTCTGCAGAGCTGTGACACGAGTGCTCAGCTGGCATGGACAGACAGAGCTTGCCTGGCCACCAGAATGGGCACCTGGGGCTGTCCCAGGCACTTTGCATCCATCTCACTCCCAGACAAAGTTACTGCACCCTGGCTGCATGGAGATCAAGGTCACGTAGCTGCTAACTGGGCAGGGTTACAGGCACTAAAATTACCAGCAAAGTGGACTTTTGGGCAAAGGACTATAGACACAACTTCCCAAACCACTTCATTTTGTCTTACTTATGTGCTGTCAGATAAATAACCAGAGCTTGCAGGAGCTTTGCAAATATTGACAGAAGCATTGAGAACAGAGGGCAGTAACAGTCCTCACTGCTTTGGGATTTAAATAAATGCAGATAAACAAAATAAATAGAGGATTAAGTGTACTGTGCCCTAAACAAAACCCTCTTTACTGCCCATCCCAAAGTGTACTGTAAAATGTCGCATATTTGTGTTGGACAAGTGAGGCAAGCAAGGCAATTCTTGTCTGGCTCTAAAGAAATAAACATTCTAAAGGACGCCATAATGAGTTTTCTGCATCAGCTGGTTTCTAACTTTGGTAATGAACTGACATTTGAGGATACAAATATAAATGAGCTATTTTACTCACATTCTCCCTTTCATCATGTTCTTCAGTTAATCCTTTGAGTATTTGAAGTGAGGCTCACACAGTGCATGCATTCCTTCCAGAGAACCTTGAACAGAAGAGATGAATTTTAAGGAAACTGGTTGTGGAAAAGTTCAGTGTGGAATATGATCTGTGGCCTGTATTTTCATTCATTGGGGTAAGGTAATTTAATTGTAATAAAATTATGTCTGGAGGAAGATAAAGCAGAAAAATTAATTAGCCTTTTGTTTGATTATTTGGCCACTTATGGCCAAAAAGAAAAAGTTTCCAAGCCATCCAGGAAACCAAGTGAGACCAGGGTTGGTAGATCCAGGACAAGGGGTCTGTCCTGTGTGTGTTTGAACTTCTGCTATCACATGAGGGGAAACATGCAAAGGTCAGTGCAGGTATCGGACACCAGTGGACCCTGTTTTCTGGCTATTGAAAAATGCCAGTTTCCTACTGCAATCCTTCCTAGCCTTTTGTTTTGTCCCTGGCAGTTAAAGAGTAGAAGACAAAATGCATGACACATGTGGCAAAGTAGAGTGTAGCACCCTGCTAGCTGTGCAGAGGCCACTGAATTTCAGCTCCCCAGGGCTAAATAAAGCCCTTTGAACCTTCTTCATTCCAGTGCCCTGGGGTAAAAACCCATGGTTAAACGCATGCATTGGGGAAGCTGGGTGACAAAATGACACACGACTTGTGTGGTTTCACATTGAGGGAAACCCCTCTCAACAAGGGGGCATTATGCAGAGTAGAATGGATCTAGCCCTGTGTAAATCACGTATTCCTTTGCCAACAGAGACCAAATATTTCAGTGCCCTCAGGAAAGACCTGCGCCCTCAGAGCAGACGCCATGCAGGCCGCGAGCCGCCCGGCGCCGCGGGGGCTGCTGGGAGTTGTAGTCCCTCGGGGGCCGCCCCGGGCGCGCCTTCCCCTCACGGCCCCTGGGGAGCAGCGGGGGCCGCTCTGGGAGCTGCCGGTGCCGCCCGCGCCTGAACCGCAGCGTGGAACACACGCTGGAAGATGCTTCCTTCTCCTCTGGGGTTTCAGGGAGACATTTCGGGGCTGATCGCGATCGTTTGTGGTTCCTGCTGCTCATTGTGAAGGAGAAAGTAAACCAAAGAGATTTCATCCCGATGTGGCTGGCGGCCAAAAAAACATCAAGTCCTTGTAATGCCCAGCACTGGCAGCATGGGAGTGCAATGGGGGCACAGGCTGTTTCTAAGTAACTTTTGTCATGAGTGTGGAAGTGGCATGGGTGTAATACGCCAGCTTGCTCAGCAAACTGAATTAATGTATAGCTATACCCAGTCAATTACTAATAACAGTCTAAAAATTCCTTTTGCATAATTTCCCTCCTAGCAATACAAGACTGAAAAGGGACTGTTCAGGCCATGGGGTTTGGTCTCCTGGCATCACAGCCAAGCCCTCACACAAGCCCATTCACCCAGCGCTGGCTTGGGCCCATGAGGAATCTCAGCCCATTCTACCCTGCAGAAAGGCTCTGTCCAGCTTCTCTTTGCTGGGGATGAAGAAATTTTAATCCACAACTTAAAATATATATATAAACAGTTTATACCTGTTTGTTCCTGTAGTAATAATCTTTAGTTTCATATTTTTTAGTGTAATATTTGACTTCTCTGTTTCTCTGGTATTTACATTCTTATGTAGACTCAAACATCTGAATGACCACAGTCCTTTTGCTGTCTGCATTTTCTGATCTTGTTCCCCTTTCTCCTTTCTGTACATTCACCTCCCAGGAGAGGACACTTGAAGCTGCACCCTCGGCTGCAGTAGGGTCTCGGCAGTGCCTTCTCCCTTTCCAGTCTGCTCTGAAAGGCCCCTTACCCCACATTACCCTTTTATCACACCTGTATGGTATTGATGATTTGAGACATCCAAAGGGTCCTTTCCACAGTTCCTGGCAGCTCCTATCTACCCAGAAACAGGAAAAATCCCTGTTACTGCTCCAGTTGCACCTTTTCAGCACTTTACTCTCAGAAAATTGTCTTTCCTCACTTAAGGTCTTTTCCACCCCTGTCTATAGTATTTTTAGTTTGCTTTAATGGATTTTTGCCACTTACCTTTCTCCACAGTATCAACAGCTTCATACCTGTTGTCCTGCTCTCCCTTCTCTACTTCAGCACTCCACAGAGGAATGAGAGACAGCTCCCAGCCCATGGAGTCCAGCGATGAAATGCCTCTTCAATTCCTGTCTTGGCCAGGAAGGTCTTCCAACAACCATGCTGTTGTCTTCTTCACAATCCCCTTCTGGCCTGCCAGGGTGTTCTGCATGGCTGCGTGTTGTCATGTTGCACTGAGGTTCTGCATAAAGCCTAGACAAAAGCCTAAAGAGCAATGGTGTTAAGCAAGTGAGGAGGGAAGGGAGGCAGAAAAGCCATGGCCAGAATGCCGCAGAGTGACTTGGTACCAGCCTGGCATTCATTTTTGAGGCAGTTATGTTCAGTGTGTGTTAAACACAAAATCAGTGGGCCTGAATTTCCCTTCCATGCAGTTCCCTGGGCACGCTCTTACAGGGAGAAGAACAGGGTCTGTAGATGTGCACAGCCTTCCGTGAAAGCTCTGGCTGCTGGGCTGGCAGCTCTGCAGGGGCCCAGCGCTGGTCAGTGACAGCTCCTGGCTGCCAGTCTGAAGGGAGCACCACTGCTCAGACTCACTGACCAGCCAGCAGGACAAAGATCTGGCTTTTGTCCGGTGGGAAGCCCCTGAAACCTTTGCTTTAGTATCCTAAGGTACTTTGGATACAATATGCATTACCTGACCTTTTTCTTATCATCATATGAATTTCCAGTAAGATGACTAGAGTTGCACCCTTTTCATACAGGCTAAAAATTAACATCTATGGTAGCTGACTACAATGCAAACCCAGTGACACCTTTATGCTTTTGCTTCCTCATTTTTCCAAGACTGAATTGCTTAAATAAATCATCCTTCACCTGAATTATATCCACTTCACTGAGAATTTCCTGCCCTACTTATTTTGTTGTGCAACTCCTTATGGTAGTAGTTGCTAATATTTAATAAAGCTTCTGTCTAGACTTAAATCTTTGTTATTTTAAAGCTTATACTTCATATTAAAAAATCACTGTATAAAACACACCCATACTAATAGTATACCTGCCACATATTTGCCCAGCTTGTAATAATGTAGCAAGAAGCTTTTAAAAAGTATTCATATGAAATACCAA